TCTCTCTTTCTCTCGCTGTCTCTTTTGTATCTCTCTCTCTCTCTCTCTCTCTCTATCTCTCTATCCCTCGCGCTCTATCTGTCTGTCGGGCTGTCTCTCTCTCTCTCTGCATTCTTCCCCTGCGTGTGTCTGTGCACCATGCCCACACACTCTACGTGCGCACGCATTCGAAGACGTATTTCACGCCAAAAGCCACAGACAGCGGCACGCTCCGCATCGCCGCATGCAGCCACCCGCACCAGCAGCCTGGCTGCAGGCAGTCAGACATCGGTAACGGGCACGTGCAGACTCAGACTCGGCCGCTGCACGCTCGGACTGCGCGACTGCGAGCCGGCGAGGCTGAAGCTGTGCCGCTGACTGAGACTGGGACTGCGCGTCATCTCCTTCTTGAAGACGGCGAGCTTCTTCATCGCCGTGCGCCGGATGCCGAAGACGGCGCCCGTCTGCGAGTGCAGCGACGAGCGCGAGCGGTTGATGAACTCCTGCAGCTTGAAGATGCGCCAGCAGCGCTGGATCGTCGTCGCCGCGCGATCCTCGCGCCGCCGCGTCATCGTCGACGACACGATGGTGATCTTCTTGCGCGTCGGGAACGTCTCCTTGAACTTCTCCTCGATGTTCTGCTGCAGCACGTTGAACTCCTCCGTCTCCTCGACGTCGTTCATCGCGTACTTAGTCAATGCGCGCACGACGTCGAGACAATGCAGCTTGTCGTCCTCGACGATCGGGATGTTGAACGACGTCAGCGCCACCGTGTTCGGCTTGGTGATCTGGAACGGCCGGTCGAGTCCATGGACGAAGTCCGACAACACGCCGTAGTGTATGAACTGCGTCGCGTGCGGGTCGAAGCGCGCCCAGTGCGCGTAGAACATGTCGATGTCGTCCTCGGTGATGCCGACCTCCTCCTGCGCGTGCGCGAGGTTGAAGTTCTCGAGTATGATGGCGATGTACATGTTAATGATGATCATGAACGCGATGAGAATGTACGAGGTGAGATACGGCACGGCGAGCCACGCCATGCCGCAGCCGCCCGCCTCCGTCGACGGCTTGCCCGTGAAGTTCGAGCTGCAGTCGTCGGGCGGCGACATCAGCGGCTCGAGCACGTCGTTCCAGCCGGCCGACGTGCAGAGCCGGAAGAGCAGCAGCATGCTGTTGCCGAACGTCTCGAAGTTGGTGATGTCGTTGAGCACGGCCGAGTGCTTCAGGTTGCCGAACGACGTCATGCCGATGATCGCGTAGATGAACATGATGAGAAAGAGCAGAGCACCGATGTTGAAGAGCGCTGGCAGCGAGATGATGAGAGCGAATAGCAGCTTGCGGATGCCCTTCGCCGCCTTGATGAGACGCAGGGCGCGGCCGATGCGGAAGACTCGGATGACGCGCAGCAGTGTTGGCGTGATGAAGACGCTGCGCATCAGGTCAGCCAGCACGAGACCTGCGACAGTGGAAACCGATCAGCAACGCGTGTGTGTGTGCGTGTGCGTGTGTGTGTGTGAGTGTGTGTGTTTGTGTGTGTGTATGTGTGTGTGTGTGTGTGTGTGTGTGTGTGTGTGTGTGAGTGCGTGCGTGCGTGCGTGCGTGTGTGTGTGTGTGTGTGTGTGTGTGTGTGTACCACACACAGGTCAGTAATGTGTCTGCGTGTACGCCACATGTCAGCAACGTGTCTGTGTGTACGTCACAGGTCAGTAACGTGTCTGCGTGTACGTCACAGGTCAGTAACGTGTCTGCGTGTACGTCACAGGTCAGTAACGTATCTGTGTGTACGTCACAGGTCAGTAACGTGTCTGCGTGTACGTCACAGGTCAGTAACGTGTCTGTGTGTACGTCACAGGTCAGCAACGTGTCTGCGTGTACGTCACAGGTCAGTAACGTGTCTGCGTGTACGTCACAGGTCAGTAACGTGTCTGCGTGTACGTCACAGGTCAGCAACGTGTCTGCGTGTACGTCACAGGTCAGTAACGTGTCTGTGTGTACGCCACAGGTCAGTAACATGTCTGTATGTACGTCACAGGTCAGAAACGTGTCTGCGTGTACGCCACAGGTCAGAAACGTGTCTGCGTGTACGCCACAGGTCAGTAACGTGTCTGCGTGTACGTCACAGGTCTGTAACGTGTGTGTGTACGTCACAGGTCAGTATCGTGTCTGTGTGTACGTCACAGGTCAGTAACGTGTCTGCGTGTACGTCACAGGTCAGTAACGTGTCTGTGTGTACGTCACAGGTCAGTAACGTGTCTGCGTGTACGTCACAGGTCTGTAACGTGTCTGTGTGTACGTCACAGGTCTGTAACGTGTCTGCGTGTACGTCACAGGTCAGTAACGTGTCTGTGTGTATGTCACAGGTCAGTAACGTGTCTGTGTGTACGCCACAGGTCAGTAACGTGTGTGTGTGTGTACGGCACAGGTCAGCAACGTGTCACAGAGGTCAAGACTGTACGGTAAATTCTTCATAGAGATGAGACGAAGGTCAGTATTAGTAAATGATAGTAAACAAGTTTCACAGCAGCACAATAGTCATCAACTACAATTTTTGTCAGTGTTACTGCTGCTGCCTGCTGCTACCACTGGTGTTGCTACTGCTATTACCTTCTGCTAGCATTGCGATGATGGCTTCTACTATAGTGCCAATCGCCACGACTGTATATGTTACGATGTTTCTATTATGTTACTCTGTTGCTATATTGTCACAACCAGGACCTTGTAATTTATTTCAAAACGTGTGTTACGTTCTGTCGATTCATACTATAGAAAAAAGTCGAGTACATTCAAATATATATCCCTATAAGTTAACACACGTGATAAGAGCTGATTGGAGGCGTTAAACATTATGACCGAGTAACTGATAAATTTAATACGTTAGATGAGCAGGAAAAAAAACGTAAGGATGAACTGACTATTTTACTATGAGTGCAGCGAACACCGTATGCTGATCACTGAACGTACCTAGCAAGGACACAACAACTACAATGAAGTCGAACACGTTCCATGGAATGACGAAGTAGTACCAGCGAAGACCGATGATCTTGAGAATAAACTCCACAGTAAATATCACAGTAAACACGATGTTGACGACCTCTAGCATGTCCCGCACCTGCAACAGCGTAAAGCCAGCATCACACGGTGTGTGACTTACAGACACTTACAGACGCACCACTCCTGCAGTCTCCACCCCCATCCGGACGCCTCCCTCCTCTTGTATTCCCTACCCCCTCTTGCAGTTGCCCACCATCTTGCAGTCCCCACCCCTCTTGCAGTTGCCCGCCATCTTGCAGTTCCCACCCCCTCTTGCAGTCCCCGCCCTTCTTGCAGTCCCACCCCTCTTGCATTCCCTACCCCTCTTGCAGTCCCCACCCCTCCTGCAGTCCCCATCCCTCTTGCAGTCCCTACACCCTCTTGCAGTCCCCCGCCATCTTGCAGTCCCCTGCCATCTTGCAGTCCCCTGCCATCTTGCAGTCCCCATCCCTCTTGCAGTCCCCCACCCCTCTTGCAGTCCCCCGCTCTCTCGCAGCTGTTCGACACGCTGGTGGCGTCCGCGCACCTGAGGTGGTTGCTGGTAATGCTCCATGGCCATGAAGATCATGTTGATGAAGATGCAGGTGATGATGAACACCTCGAACTTCATGTTCGTCACGAAGTCGTAGAAGTGCGCCTGTACGCGATTCTGCAACAGTCAGCACGGCAGCACATCAGTAGACGCCACGACCACCACCGCCGCCACGCCCGCTTGCCACATCGCCCCCCTTACACTGCACCGCAAGCAACCCCCGCCCGAGGGTGATAATTAAATAAAATTAAACAATTAAATAAATCACTAGCTTAAATTATCCTGCTGGCGTATTAACGAAAAACATTTAAAAAAATTATAATAATTATAACAAAATGAACTATATATATAACCTGTTGTCATGTTAATTGTGCAACGTTGTACGATTAATTACAGTCGTTTGCAAACGTGACTTGATGATGATAATATAGTTCATATACTGTTCTGATAAACCCATTACAATAACAGTAACCCAGTACCCCCGAATTCCACTTAGTACAATAACACAAGGCAGTGCAGTGCAGTGTAGCCTTGTTAACTTCTGGTGTCCTAACACTACTATGTATTTGATATCGGAGGCCACTGGCATTCCAGTAATAATCTAATTCAAATGACAGACAATGGTGAACGTGGTGCTGGCGCAGTGCGTTGTGGGAAGGACTGGCGACCTTGTCATGCCCTGCAGGACGTGAGCTTTTTGTATGAATATCTGAAATTATACTTAGAAAACAAACTTGTACAATGTCTATCTCGCCGGTATAGCAGTTACGCGGTTTCTACGGCTAGTAGGTTCAGTGCAGAAATGCACGAACCACACGGAGACCTCACAGTGTGAGTGTCTGTGACAGAGGCGTATGTATAGGTCTTCTATAGTACTACATACTAGCTCTAGTTACTATAGGATTCTTTTCATTGCGAGATCATATAGTAACAACAGCTGTCTACGCCCTGTGTACTACGTGGTGATATCAAACGAAATAAACAAACACAACTCGAAAATAATTAAGATCGTACAATTTTACGCCTTTTACGCAGTTATTGCTACGGCGTCACGGCTAAAATCGATAAATTCGCGTTTTTATCATTTGAAAGTTTAATAGAGAACGCTAGCGTATGACAGCTCACGTTTTTATAAGTAGACGACGCTATATAGAAACGCTATCTAAGAAGAAAACATATTGAAACGTTGAAACTAGTTCTCAATGTCATGCAAACTGTGTGACCGATCACTTTGTCAGGTTGGCTGCTTGATATCTATGAATAATTTCCAGATGATTTTTACAGATTTCATTCAACTTGCTCTTTCAGTTTTAAACCAAAGGATCATCGCAAGCTTTCAGACCAGTAGGCAATGTCTAGCTACCTATATAGTTTATGTTATCGTAAAAGGAATTAAGAATAAAATTACAGGTCCGATTTCACACTTTTACTTCTCGTCACACGGCAAAATTTAAATTTAATAACACGAAACGAAAACCTGTCAATCATACCAAAAACGCATACTTTAATTTAATTACTGTGTACCGCAAACAGAGGTTAAGCTTTATATATAGTTATTCAACATTTTGATCACATCCTCGACACATTATGAGAACACGATTCAGCGAGCAACCTCAGCAAGGCACGGTGCCAGCCTACATGACATTGAATTATTATAGCTCTCTATATAGACTTCAATGCATTACACAATGCAATGGAGGTTATAGTGTAAGTAGAGCTAGGGTGGCTAAAGCCTTGCACACAATAGGATAAGCGACGATACGCATTCTATGTCGCAAGCACATCGATATATATATATATTATATATATGGCATTTGTTATATAAAATCACCGATGCAATGAACAAAAAAATGAACGTTATCCGCAGAATCTGTTGATACGGTTTATAAGGCCTTGGCGAGCCTCATGAAAAATACCACCAGGTTACCTACACATATAATTTTCAATACGGTTACAGTTTTGTAGGAGACAGTGACCGCTCATCAGACCATCAGACGAACTACCCCATTGGAACTTGCAGCTTAGCAGGTTGCGCCACCTACTGGTAGGACGTGTTCCTGGTTTTTACGTAGGGGAATGTCGAGTAAGTGCGTGCAAGATGGCTGCCTGCTCGTATTAGGTAAAAGTTCAGAGTACCCAGTATCTGATGCAATCCATGTTAAAACACCCCCCGTTTAAGCGTTTACACCCATCGTGGTGGTATTTTCACGAAGCGTGACAAAGACCTAGAAGTCGTAGCAACGCGGCTTGCGGAGCAACCCTCATTCTCTTGTTCGAATTTCGATTCGACGTCGATGAAAACGCATACGCTATCTACGCATATCGATATGCATGCATCCGCCCGACCCGCGCACAGGCCGTGAAACCCATGATGAGCTCCATCAACATGAACATGCGCGAACTCACACGCAAACACCGTTACCAGTCGACAATGCTGTACACGATGACAGTTAATAGCGTGTCTCGCCGATAGATGGCGCTAGATTGAGCGACACGAGAACCGTTTTCGCCGTAGAGCCGATAAAAATGCGAAATCGATCAAATAACGAATAATGCAGAAAAACGAATAACGAATAAACCGCTTAATGAATGCGGGTGAAATGAACGTGTGACTTTTTAATCGAAATGCTAGGCCAGTCTCGTGGTAGTGCGATGCATTATCTCCTGCTGCGCCTAGCCATAAAATTCCAAAGTGAACAAGCCCACGTACCCGTTCTGCACAGATATGCACGCGACCTGGATGTAACAGACGCAACGACAAACACACGACGACAGACAGACGAACACCGAACGACGACCACAACGACAAAGCACCACCGGTCAGTTTCTACACGTAGAAGACACTACACAGAGGGATGAAATACAGCGCCGGGTTGGCCATGTTCGTCAGCAGTGCACATACATACACTACACCTCACCGAATAACAGGACAGAAGATCGCGAGGGACGGTGAAGGGGAAAATATGTGTACATGAGGAAGGTGACGGGAAGCGAGACCCTAAAGTGATGTGAGGGGGTGCACAGTGATAACAGAGAAAGGTGCGAGGGGGAGAAGTGTGATGGGAGATGAACGTGAAAAGAAGTGATAACGGAGAAAGGTGAAGAGGAACATGTTTCATAGAAGTAAACGAAACGTGAACAGGGCGCGTAAATAATATCTACGGCCAGTAGAGAAACTAGATGCGTGAGGTGATCTATATAGCCGGACGGCTTCATTTGGGCATTCTTGTTGTGTGTGTGAAAATGAAAGTTTTAAACACATATTACCACACAACACGTTTTCATCTTCGCCTCTATATAACTTTGAATCTGAAAGTAACCAGTTATGGAAAACATCAACTCAGGGGAACCGATTACATTTAGTTGCGTGTATGATCTGGAAAATTGCGGGGAAACAATGCCACAATCCGAGGAACTAAAAATAAAAAAATTCATTTGTGATATTAGCTGGATTAAAAGCGACCAGAAGGTTACGAACAGAATCTGAGACGGTAGGAGCGAATATGAAGTGAATTGATCTGATAGCAATGAATCGAATGATAGTAAGGAATTGATAAGAGGCACTCACTGGGAGTGAGAAGGCGAGAGAAATAAAGCAGAGGCAAGAATAGGAGGAGAAGCCAACCATGGTTAGTAGAGAACTGAAGCGTGCGGTCACTGGACACAAGAGCTTGCTAGACTACTACTGCAGCAAACCGCACACACACATACACACGCACGCACACACACGCGGACACGCACGCACACACATGTACGCATACCTTACTATGACATCGAACAGTGTCAATAGAGGCGCGAGGAACACACGCCCACGAACGAGGTTAACAATCATACACACACACGCACGCACACACGCGCATACACATATATACACGCATATGTTAGCTGCAGATGTAGCCAATAACAATATAATTAGCTACCAAGAGCGGAGAGCACAGGGCGGCGCACAAACCACACGGCAACGTTCATACACACAAGCCTTATAAATATATCAGGAGTTCATAATTCCCCCCACGAACGTCCTTATGAACTCCTGAATATATACATACATATGTATATAACTACAAATATGTATGTATACGTGTACACATATAGCACTCCCGGATTAGTATACACATAATATACGGAGAGAAATATGATGCGGGTAAATGACGTATATACGTTATGCTCCATACTCACCCAAAAGGTCCCATTCTACAACGACCGAACACAAAATAAAAAAACCTCATTTATACGTACTCGAAATAAACATAGTTATTACGTGCAATATATATATATATGTATAAAAGTGATCGTAATTTAATGCGACGTGTGTAACATCGCGGTGCATCTGCGAATCTGAGTGAGGTAGTAATTGCGTAGCTTATAACATGCCACAGCAAGCCCACGCTCTCGAAAACCATGGCCACACGTGGGCAGTAGCAAACGCAAAGATCGGGGCACGGAGAGTGTTACTAAATTAACCAGTATGGTGATAAATAATTAGATGAATTGAGCTAGAAAGCCTGTTAACACTAAAATTCGCTCCGAAATGAGTGATGCGATGAGAGGATGCTGGAAATGAAGTGCGAAGCCATTCGCGTAGGGATGCTTACGAGTGAGTACCGCACCGTACTCCGCACACGCGGGGAAGAAGTCTTCAGAAGAAGACTTCAGAAGAAGACTTCAGACGCGTTACAGCGGAGAGCGCTTCCACTCAACCGGACGATGTGAAACGCAAATAAAAAACAATATCTCAACACTCGGCCCACTGCAAGCAAACGCACGCGCCCCTCTGCCGTCCCGGGCGCGCGCTGGCGAGGCCACGCCGCGTCATACCTTGGGCTTTTTCACAGTTTTTTGCGGCTTCTTGCTGCCCAGTCTCTTCATGGTGTTGTAGTAGTTGCGCTGGCTGGCGGTCAGTAGCACGTCCACGATGCCACCTTCGTACTAACAACAAGCAGCAAAATAAACACAGCAATCCCGTGGTTCGCTGCGCAATGTATATACACCCGCGCCCACAACACGAGAGGAACATAGATAATAAATCGCGAGAAAATGTATCGTAGAAGCCCACACTGATGTTAGGAAAACATCAGCAAATCCCTTTTTTTCACACGCTCATATAGAGGAAATCCCACAGAGTACAGATAGTAGAGTTCAACACGAATGATCGTACTCTTAGGCGATTACCTTTTTCTTGAGCATGTTGAAATTGTCAATGATCACACCGATGAACAGGTTGAGCGTGAAGAAGGAGCCGAAGATGATGAACAAGACAAAATAGAGGTAACCATACAGGTTGGCTTCCCTCTCTGGCTGCATGTTGACCTGTAAGAACCAGTCAGATGACGCATACGAAACAGTGGTGAACTGTTGCACACACACACGCACGCATGGGCGCACACAAACACACACACACAGACACACACACACAAACACAAACACACACACACTCGTGCACGCGCGCGCACACACACACACACACACGCACGCACGCACGCACGCACGCACGCACG